GGGTTTAGGGTTTAGGGATGGCTTGCAGACTCGGAGTCTCAGGCCGTTGTTCCCTGAAGCCTGGGGCTTAGGCTTTCGGCTTTAGGGTTTTGGGGTAGGCACAAGGCCACAAAGGATGCAGGATACTGTTGATGGACAAAATTCNNAGTATAGTACCATAAATCCCATAGTTCAGGTATATTATATAAGGTCATGCAGGATTTTGTCCATCAACGTAGAAGCTTTTAGGGTTTTAGGCTTTAGGGCTTCGAGGTCTTGGGGCCCTCAGCGTCGAACCCCGTGTCCATGGGTTTTGCACCCTGTCCTTGGGCTGGGTTCTGGCTTCATGGGTTTAAGGAACTCGTGTTGTGGTTCTAGGTTTGGCTGAAGGAATTAGGATTTTCGGGTTTTAGGGTCAGGGCGTGGGGTTGGGGTTGGGGATTTGGGGCCACAAGAAGTCCGGGATTCCTAAGCCCCAACAAGAGTTGCTCCCGATCCGTCTTGACGATATTCAGCTGAGTTCAAGCTACCAATCGGAAACGACTGCTCCAAAGCTCAGCCAGAAAAACCCATCCCATAAACAAGAAGGCGAGTGCAATCAGCAGCAATCAGCACATGCAAGTCAACCCAGGCAAGCCATATACAACTCGGTATAGAACCCTAACCGCTAAATCCTAAACCTGCCCACAAAGCCCTCAAAAGACCCCCTCGACTGGCACCCCAGATCTCTGGAGGACGAGGCACCAGCCGAGAACTCACTGTGGGTGAGGGCTTAGGGTTTAGGATTGAGGGTTTAGGCTTCAGGGTTTAGGGTTCAGGGTTCAGGGTTTAGGGTTCAGGGTTCAGGGTTTAGGGTTTGGGGTTTAGGCTTCAGGGTTTTGGGTTCAGGGTTTAGGCCAAGAGCCTTAAAGAGGTTTTGGTTGAGGAAACTCGGTGTTCATACTGTCAGGGCTACCATAAGGGTTACCATGGGACTATAAGGCTTACCATAAACCTTGACATAAGGGTACTACATAAGGGTTACTAGAAGGGTCTGGTGGCTAAGGGGTTTAGGGGGGTTTGGGCTCAGGGGCCTCGCCTTCCAAAATCTTCAGACACTTGCCCGTCACGCTCCAAAGCCGAACGGTGCCGTCGTAGGATGCAGAACCGATGATGGTGCCTGCCATGTTTCTGGCTTGGGGGGCCTGGGGTTTACCGGTTTAGGAAGGGCCCTAGACCCTATAGCCTAAACGCATCTAACACCTCTAGACCCTGAATCCTAAACCCATCATCTAACACCTTCAGACCCTAAACACTATACCCTAAACCATCTAACACCTCTAAACCCTGAACCCTAAACCATTTTTGTGCTTTAGGAGCCGATGGCTTTCAGACCTCAAAGAGCAAACGCTCCTGGCCTCACATCGCGGACCCGGGTTTAGGGGCTCAGGGTTTAGGGTTCAGGGTTCAGGGTTTAGGGCTTAGGGCTTCAGGGTGTAGGGTTTACGTAGGTCTTTCTCTAATCCTACTCAAACTGTTAGTGGTCCTTAATACATGGTAGGGACTCTAAATCTGGAATCGGGTTGTGGTGTTATTGCAACATAATGAACCCTTAAATAGCATTATTAATTAACCAGGCTGCAACAATCCGGGCTTGGTCTGTTGGTTGCGCTGTATCCGTATGCGAGCACGTTGTATAGTCATGATTTGCAAAAATACCGCTTGCCCGGCCCTGACCCCACAGCAAGTGCGGATTTCTAAACCTCGCAGCCAGGACCCTACTAAAGACTCCCTCCACCGAAACCCTCACTTTCGGAAACACTCAACCCACCGCCCCCCTAAACCCTAAACCTTAAACCCCAAACCTTAACCCTAAACCCTAAACCCTAAACCCCTAAACCCTAAACCTTAAACCCCAAACCTTAAACCCCAAATCCCCCCCTAGTCTACACTCAGGTCGGCACCGTCTGGCGAGAAAGCAGCAGATCGGACCTCAGAGTCGACTCTCATGAAGCCCTCCCTAAGCAAAAGCCTAAAGGGGGCCTCAAAGCTAGGGTTTAGGGTTTAGGGTTTAGGGTTTAGGGTTTAGGGTTTAGGGTTTAAGGCTTTTGGGCTGAGAGTTTCGGTTTGGTGGTTAAGCGTTCCTGGGCTAAAGTCTGGTTATAGAGTTTGGCATTGTAGGGCTGAGGGCGTAGGGCTCCGAGGCGAAAGTTTGGGCTTAGCGCTTTGCGTGAAGGATTCTTGGTTGCGAGGTTTTGGAGTCTCCCCTAAACCCTAAACCCGGGTTGGAGGCTTCTGGCTGACCTGTCAAGTCCCTGCTCACGCACCTTCGGCCGGTCCTCCGGTCGGTCAAAAATGGAGACCACGAAGATCTACGAGGTGTTAGAGCCCCAGAGCCCCCAAGGTCCGTACCAAAAGGGTAGTTCTCTAAATTAAGGTCCCTTTTAGGGTCCTTTTTATATGGGTGCCGTACTATATTGGTGACCTAAAAGGGGACCCTAATTTAGAGAACTACCCAAAAGTAACTAAAGAGCTACTCACGGCTCTGCTCAACGAAACATCTGCTGGCACCCCACTGCAGCTTCGAGGCAGCTAGCACCGACGCCCTGGTGCTTAGTAGGGACTTTGCGAAGGGATCCCTGTGATGGTCCCTGACCTTCTACTGTTGATGATATATAAATCCTGCAATACCCCAAACTATGGGAAGTATGGTATATTCCTTATCATGGGTCATGCAGGATTTCTATCATCAACCATAGTAGGCCCCCGATTTACTAAGAAGGGAGTCGAGAGCCGCGGCGATCCTTTTGCCACTCAGCCGATGATCGGGTCCGGCCAGTTCTCAGTTGAGTATCCCAGGAGCGCTTGCCAGTCCTTCATTCTAAGGAAACCATGGACCCCTAGCTGGCCCTTAACCCTGGGATCCTTACACCAACTATATACCCTATATGTACCTTTAAGGGTCCCTAGAAAGGCCTGGGGGTCCATATAAGGGGCCATACTTCTAACCTTAGATTCATGAGGCCACGACCCTAAACCCTAGACCCTCATCCCCAAACGTCAAACCCCGAAGCCTAGACCTTAAAAGGCTCTCTGGAAGTTTCATGCAGCTGTGCAGCTCTCAACTCATACAGGATTGGAAGATAACAGAGGAGGCCAGAACCGTGTCAAAAAGCAGAGCTAGGATGGCAGTTGAGGGTTGATGGCTTCGCTATACAATTCGCACGCTTGCCTTTGGGTCTCCGTTCCTGTCAACGCGAAGAGAACGCCCGTCCTTGAGCTGCTGCACAAGGCGTGGGTCCAGCCGCATCATGGCTTCTTGACCGGCCTCGTGTTGCCAGGGGTGGGTTTTAGCAGGTTTTCGGCCTAGCACTGAACCGAAATGTCCTTGAGGCACTCGTCGTCGTTGCCGTGGCCATTTTCTGCAATCGCATTCGTGAAGTTGGGGTCCACGTTCAGGTCCTCCACCTGAGACCGTCAGACTCCTCGGACGCCTACTTCCCTCGCCCCTCCTCCCCCTCACAAAGACAAGAAGACACAAAGCCCTGCTGCTGCCGCAACGAGGACGACGAGTCTCCCGACGAAGACGACAAGACGAAGCGCATGGGACAGGTTGCTTTCTCTGATCATTCGCAGTATGAGTGTTACTGCATGTTGCCGTGGTAGGTTCTGCCTAGATGTTCCAAGTTCGCTAAACGCTGGGGCTGCAATGCGTCAAGCCGAGGCCTTCAATCTGTCGTGAAAATTCGAACTTGAAGCCCTCGTCCCAAAGCCCGACCTTGGCTGCTTGCCATGACCTTTGCAGATCTGCTTCTGGGACCATGGGCGCAAAGAGGAAATGGAAGAGGCTCTGGACCACCTCGAGATCTCGAGATTTGAATGCTCTTGGGCTTTCGAATTTCGCCGATAAAAAAGGTGAGGACCCTCTGCGTGCATGAAGAGAACTCAAGATGTCTCAGGTGTCAAACGAGACATACAAAGGTCGAGACCGCAAAGACGCTTGAAGCCGGCACCTTCAGCCTTTCTTGAGTTATTGAGGCTTATGTTTAGCGGCATGGACTGTTGATTTGCGAAGTCCCACAACAATCCTTCCTGTAGGTTTCGAGCCTGGGGTGCACAAGATCCGAAGCAGGTAAAACTTCGTAGAATACGTGGAGTGGAGTATACTGACGACTGCGATGATCATAGTAATGATTAGGGTGCTGCTTTGTATTGCTGCTGCTGATTCTGATGCTGCTAGCCAAGCAATGGTGATAACGTTGGTGGTGATGGCGATGGCGATGGTGATGGTGAGGTACTACAAGGTGATGATGATGACGACGACGACGATGATGATGATGATAACGAGGATGCGAATGAGGAATGAGGATGAGGATGAGGATAATGAGGGTTAGGGTGATGATCGTGATCGGTGATGATGGTGGTATTAACATGGAAGACGGCGTCACCTCCCCATCAGAAGTTCACTTAACGGCTGTTGTGGTAAATTTCCGTGTCCCAAACTCTTTCGAAGTTCCTGAACGCGATGCCCCGGTTTCAGGGTTTATGCTCGGTACTGTGAGGAGTCGGACTTGCTTCGGCAGTTGGAGCTCCGGGTTCAACGGCCATGCCACTCTGTCAAAGCCTTCCGATGATGGGGCAATCTCCTGGGCAGGGCTCACAAGGAAAAGGCGATCCGATGAAGTACCATGACCGACCAGAAGAACAAGCATCATCGGTATATGCACGCAGTAGAAGGCTACTACGAAGTACCAATGTTGCAATTCAATAGGGTGAGAATAACAACAACCATGAAACAAATAAGGCATTGGTAAAGCTGGTTGTGATGATGGGTAGCTAGTCCTGCAGCAAAAGTGCTCTGATCTAGAAACCTGTAATTTATTGAATGCTATACATTATTATGCTATAGTATAGTGTGTTTTATATACTTATAACAATGTGTTATTTGATAGTGGCTTTTATTGTATTCAACTTTATGAAACTATACTATATGCTGTTCTATTCTATAATATATATATATATATGTAGTATGTAGTCTAGTTTAGCGTAATGTAGTGTATTGCAGTGTAATGTAGTGTAGTATAGTAGAGTTGAGTCTAGTTTAGTATAGTTTTTCGGATAGCATAGTATAGTATGGCATAGTATAGTATAGCGTAAGATAGCTTGCTATGTCTCATTACAATATATTCAATATATTGCATTCGATTGAAGTACGTTACATTATGCCTTTTTCAAACGCTGGGTTGGTGGGCTTTAGCCGAGGCTTTGCCCGAGGTTCCATAAGCGACAAAGCGTGGCATACAGGCGGAGGATAACATGTTCCAAGGGTTTAGGGTTTAGGGTTTAGGGTTTAGAGTTTAGGGTTTAGGGTTTAGGGCCTGATTTGAGAAAACCAAATTTAGGGTTTAGGGTTTCGGGCCTGGCGCGACAACTACTAGTACAGCATAGGGTATAGGGTATGGGGTATAGGATATAGCGTATAGAGGATAGGGTATAAAGTATAGAGTATAGCGTATAGGAAGTAGAGTATATAGTATATAGTATGCAGTATACAGTATACAGTAAACAGTACATGGTGAATAGTATAGTGTGTTGTAACATATTACATTATCGGAAGGACAGGGAAGACACGAACAAAGCAATAACTCAAGCTAGGCATAAGATGAACCGAGAAAAGGCAATGGAAAATGCTTCACTTCTGCAAGCCGCCATAATATAGGGGCCTGAATAATTAGAATAGGGTTTTGGGATACATAATACTACAACTACAATAGGGAACCCCCAATAGTGTTGGTAATTGTTTGGTAACAGTGCATGATTTAACGTGGCGCCCTTTAAGCCCCTACATTAGCAGGCATAGCTTCGAGCAGACATGTCTGCTCTTGCCTCGAACTTCACATGGAACATCTCTTGGGCCGTCGTGCCCGTGTAGAGGTCCACCATGTCCTTGGTTTAGGGGGTACTGTAGGGGCCTAAGCAATTACCTAGACTGCTTTGGGGGTTCCTTGTTATAAGTATAATGGGGCCCCAAAAATCCTACTCTAATTATTAAGGCTCCTATGGTAAGGCATAGGAAGCCCAACCCCTCTGCCCAAAGCTCCAGCCACCAATCAACCCAATGCCTGAGACTCCCAAGTGAGTTCGGAGTCCGTTCGGACCGACAAACCGAGGGTTTAGGGTTTAGGGATTAGGGATTAGGGTTTAGGGCGACCCCCCAAAGCCAGCTCCGTGCATCACGTGCTGACATCACGGACCTCCCTCCAAGGAAAGATGCAAGATCTAGTGTAGGGGCCTTAATAATTGGAATAGGGTTTTGGGGTATATCATGCAACAACATATGACAAGCAATTTTCCGACATAGTATTGGCAATTATTTCAGGCCGCTATATTTGTCGGGGTTGTAAGTAAAGACGGGGGGCGCCTTCGAGGGTTGAAGGGCAGCCAAGAAACTTGGATGGCGCTGCTCATAACGGGCCAGAGTGCCATCATGCCCTCCCAGGACAGGACGAAGGGGAAGCTTTGGGTTTCGATCCCAGGGGAAGTCGGGGGCACCGAAGCACTGCCACGTAAAGTTTTGTAGGGTTTAGGGCTTGGGGCTTACGATTCAGGGGCTTAGGGTTTAGGGATGAGGTGCGGCGACTGATCAAGCAGTCCTTGTCTTAATGTTGATGGCCCTTTGCATGTTCGGCTGGAGACGGCGACGATGGTAGGGACGAACGTAGAGATGGTCAGGAAACCTAGACACTAGACCCGGAAATCCCAAAAAGAAAACCTAAGCCCTGAAACCAATAAAAAAAAAACAACACCACCAGGAAGACCCCTAAACCCTAAACCCTAAACCCTAAACCCTAAAAATAACAAAAACCAAAAAAACAGCCCAGCCCAAGAAGCCCCCGGCACCTCCTCAGGGCCCATGGCCATGATCTCGGGCCAGGGCACTAGCGGGTTGCCGAACTCCTCCAAGGAGCCCAGAGTCAGGGTTTGAGGCTCAGGGTTTAGGGTTTAGGGCTTAGAGTTTAGGGTTTAGGGTTTAGGGCTCAGGGTTTAGGGCTTAGGGTTCAGGGTTTAGGGTTTAGGGTTTGAGGGCTTAGGGATTGAGGTTTTGGGGTTTAGGCCCTTTAGGGTCTGGCGTTTGGAGTTTGGGGCTTTGATATTTCGGGCTTCGGGTTTAGGGTTTCGGATTTGGGTTTAGCAGTTTTGGGGGCCCTCCGAAAGCTGGAAGTGGCTCAGGCACTTGGGTCGGCGACTCGTTTGAAGTCTGGCAGCCTCTACCGAAGGCACTTACTGTAGCGGCCTCAATAAGTAGAATAGGGTTTTGGGGTATATTGTACTATAATTATAACAAGGAACCCCAACATAATGCAAGTATTTGTTGAGGCCTCTATAGTAGCTAAGGCAGCGTCTTCTTTCGACATAAACCCCAAAGCTTTAAAGGGGGGGAGTTGTGCCTCAAGCCCTAGACCTTGAAACCACAGAGCCCAAACCCCGACCCTTTAAGGGGCCTTAGGCCTCTCTGGGGGCCAACATCCACTGATACGATGGCCCCACATCCTGAACCCGAACCAATGGATGACCTTTGAAGCCAAAACCCGAGACCACCCGCCCGACCCGAGCGCAAATGTCAATGTTCAAGGAATGAGAAGAACAATGAAGGGACGAGCAGCTTTGATCAGAAACAAGCAGTAACCAGAATGCTTGGTCTGAAAAGGGTATCCCCCTGTATACTTTTCCTCGACTGGTCCCTAAACCGCTGACGAGGGCTCAAAAGCGGTCGGACCGGGCGTCCAAACTGCGCCTCCCCACGGTGGTGGTAGCAGTATGCAGACACAAGCATGTCCTGCAAGCTTTCGAGAGAGATGGATGCCTACCAGAAGTTCCGAAGACGTGAAAACCGAGGTGGCTACCCAGATCTTAATCACAGGAAGATAGGGAAAGGCGTACACATGGCGCACAGCGTGCAGAGTAGAGGGGAGAGAGAGAGAGGGAAAAACAAGGAAGAGAGAGCGAGAGAGAGAGAGAGCGGTGAAGAGATAGACAGACCGAAAGAGGAAACAACAGATAAAGTGAGGAAGTGTTGCATTCTGGGATCTCAGTCGATGGTTGTTGCTGCCGCTAATGCTGCTGCTGCTTCTGGTCTTGTTGCTCTCATTGCGCGAACAATACAATTCCCAACCCCGAGCTTTCCATTCCGCCTTGGGCTTTCTCACGGAGTGTGCACCGCGGATGCTCTGCCCGCGAGAAGCGGCCACTGTCTTCGCCGCGAGGAAGTGATTGATCTTCGCATTGTTGTCCCATTCTTAGGTTCACAGACTTTGGGCGCTGAAGGAGCTTGGCACTTGAGGTGTTGAAGCCTAGGCTTTTGTGCTTGGAGTGGGCTGAAAGGGATCTGGAGCTAGGGCTGCGAAGCTGTGACGCTCTACTTCACCAGCGTTGTCGGCGCGAGTTGGGGAGTTTAGGGTTCAGCATCAAGGGGCAGTTCAAGGCTAGCAACCATCGTCCCATGCTCTATTGGCGTCGTTGTGTATGGTAGGCTAGGGTCATCATTAAGTTGGGCAACAAGGTCATACTCATCGATGGGCGGTCCTGCTCTTTCATCCATCTGACCCACTCTCTAGAAACTAGAAGGGACATGCAATGCAAACACGACAGGCAACACGGCTGATCAAACCCGGTTCCCTCTACATTGCAGACACCCAGCAAGCACGAAAACAAGCGGCGGATAGGAGCATTTGGGTTCCCTTGGCACGGGTCGCCGTGCTGAGCTGTGGTGATGTAGCCTCGGCTGTGCAAGCATGCTGGAAGAAGTTCTTGAGCCTGCCTGCATTTTGTTAGAATCGATGCCCGCAACCTTACTCGACATGCGTGCTATCCTGACGTGGCTGCCCTTAACATGAGGCCCACCAAGAAACCTCTGGACAGGGCATGCGGTTTCATCAAACCAAACAGACCACTGAGCGCCAAAAACAAGCCGACAGCAGTTGCAGCTGGCTGTGAAAGCAGCCGTGTCGTCCAGGTGCACACGACGAGGCTTCTCGCATTGAAGCCGGGACCCACGGTCCAGAATATCGAGAACAATCACAATGCCACATTCAAAGCTAACAAAAGCATCGGGCTGAGAGCTACAAATCTAGAAATCGGGTGCAGGGTGTCGGGCTTCTGAATCTGTTTCAATCCAGCAGCTGTCAGAGAAAGGGCCTCCCCAGTGGCAGGACCCCGGGGCGCCCAAGGCGTCCAAACCATGTCCTGACACTCAAAGCCCTTAATCCCTCACACCTTGCAGCTTCTCCTGGATGCCTCAACATGCAAAGCCACCCACGTAATGCCTGAAATCAAAGCCTGAGAGAGCGCATTGACTTCTTTCAGACCTATCCAACATCATAACGTGCGAGGAGCGAATATGTTCATTTGTGGGCATGTACGTATGTATGTATGTATGTATGTATGTATGTATGTATGCATACATGCATGTATGTATGTGTGTATGTATGTTTGTTTGTTTGTTTGTATGTATGTATGTATGTATGTATGTATGTATGTATGTATGCAATGAAATGTAATGTAATCGTAATCTAATGTATTGTAAAACAATGTAATGCAATGCAATGCACTGTAATGTAATGTAGCGCATTGTAATAGAATGTAATACTATATATGTATGTACGTACGCATGTATGTGGGTGTTTTAGTGTATGAGTATATATGACTGCGTGTGTAACTTGTTCGACCTGCCACTACCCACATCTTGCGGGCGCTCTGGAGCGAGGAAAGCTCGGCCCAGCCCAAAAAAGGCCCTCGGCCCACTTCCCCTAAACCCTAAACCGCCCAGCCCAAACCAAGGCCCTCGGCCCGCTTATGCCGCGCGTCGCATCACATCCCGCAGGAGTTGGCTGCCAGCTTTATGGTGCGTGCCTACCTGAGGGCTGCTTTTGGTTCAGGGTTTAGGGTTTAGGGTTTAGGGTCCCGTTTGGACAGTTTCTCATGCACCGCTACTACTATCTTCTCATGCACTTCTATGTGGATGGATACCTAGAAGCCGCAAGAGCAACCCCTGCCTCAGGCATAGGATGGAATGTTGACAGAGGGGTGGCAAGGTAGAGTTCACAACAAGCCGAAGCTCCAAAAATCTCGGCAGGAAAGCTCTGTTCGTTTCAGTTCAATACCCCTCAAGTTGAGCAATCATGCAGTAAGCCCTTATCTTCCCAAGCGTTTTCAGGTGGAGAACTCTGAACCGACCTCCCGTAGCCCTAGACCCTGGTTTAGGGTTTAGGGTTTAGGGGTGTCGGGCTTTTGGTCGTTTCGTTCAGACCGGAAACCGAGCCGAACACTCCACAGCAGAAACTCTCAGGGTTGTGTTCCCCTTCTTCTTCTCATGATTCCTCTGGTCGGTTATTGCTCTCATACTCCTTGGTTTGAGGTATGAAAGGATGTCCTGAGACTTCGAGAATCTGTCTTGCGAAGCGGCGAAGTAGAAGCCCTGCTCCCAGGGGGCGCCCGGCTGAGAAGAGGTCGCCTTACCTGAAACCCACACTAGGTTCTGGGTTTGGGGTTGGGGTTTAGGATTTAGGTCTAGGGCTGGGTCTTCCAAACTTAGGTTTTTTTCGGTTGAAGTTGAGGCGACCTTCTGAAAGTTGAGGGTGCCAGGTTCAGGTTTGGGGTTCAGGGGGGCTTGGGGTGTCACGCTTATCTCTTCGAGCCTGGATTCAAGCTTCCGATCCCGTTCAATTTCCCGAACCCTGAACTCCTAGAGCCTACGTCAATGTAGGGGCATCAGAATCAGGCGCCCTACCAAGGCTTCTGAATGTGGGCTTTACTGCGACAAGCAAGGCAAGGAAGTCTGGTTCAAGATTAATTGAGGGTTGTGTGGCTGAAGCGGCTAAGCGCTTTGGGTTGCAGAGAATATACTCTATTATACATAGCTAATTGGCAACTTCTGTATAAGTTTCGCTACATGGTATACTGAAGCACGTCCAGCTCTTCCCCGCCAGACCAAGCCTTGCATCCTAACATCTAGGATGGCAAGTGCAGGTCCAGGGAACTGAGAAGTTCTTCGCCCAATCGCCAGTAGCACACATCTGCAGATGTGTGCAGATATAAGATACGCACGCGTATATGTGTACGGATACATATATACGTGTATGTATGCGTGTGTATACATATATATATATATATATACATATATATATATATATAATACACATACGTGGTATGCCCCGCCCCTTCACCCACCCACCCCTCCAAAAAAAATTACCTTCCCCAAAAAACCTACTGTTGTCCTCATGCTGCTCCATTTTTAGCACCATACCGAACATCTAAGCAGTTTTGAGGGACAGCATCTTGGCTACCAGACTTGGGCCCTTTAATTAACACGGACCGTGTTAACCAACACGGACCCCCGGAACCAAGAACCAAGATTTCCGGTAAACTTTTTGGACCACATCTTGCTTCCCACCACACTACAAATCCCCGAAACCGTCAGAGTCCCGAAACGCCCGCCCAAAGTTCAACCCCCAAATTCTCTTGTAAAAGCCCTAACGGTTAACGGTTTAGGGGTTTAGGTTTAGAGGGCTTAGGGCTTCGGGGCTTCTATAGTTGCCCAGTCTCGATCGGATACCCTGGACTGAACCAGGGATACGGGTGCATCGCCGCAGCTATCATCCAAAAGTGCCTGAGCTCTTGTAGGCTTTGCCGGTTTTAGCACTCAGAGCTTCAGGCGTTCCGTTGACGTGGCGCTTGAAATTGGAAGATTGCCGAAGCGCGTCCGATTTGGGTTGACCATCAGTTCACACTCTGAAACTACTGCAATCTCGAGCTTGAATGAGACTCTAGGGACTCTATATACCATAATATCATGTCAGGGAATAAAGCACAGAATTATACAACTTTATGTCGTATTGTATTTGGGAGTTTCCGAAAATAAGGGGTACCTCATATTGGGGTCCTTATAATATGGATCCTACTATTTAGGGTACTATATTAGGGTCCCTATTTTCGGAAACCCCCATTGAAGTTCCTGAAGACTCGAGCTTCGATGACGCTAGGGACCTTCACCGCTGAGGGCCCGGGCTCCAGGGCTTCAAAACGAAGCTTCCCTAGCCTGGCCCTTGAAAGCCTTTGAAAAATTACTGTCTGGTGCTTAGTAGGGAATGGTTTAGGGTTTGGGTTTAGGGTTTGGGTTTAGAGTTTAGGGTTTAGGGTGGTGCTTAGTAGGGAATGGGGGAATGGGTTATAGGGACTACTATAAGGGACCTTAAGGGACGATCATAGGGATCCATTCCCCATTCCTTACTAAGCACCAGACAGAATATTCGTTAATGGGATCATCCTTGGCCCAAGAAGGGAAACTATAAAACGTAGCAAAGGCCTACCTAGTTCCTGAACCCTCAGATCTCTGGTTTTGAGGTTCGGATTCTGGGCTTTTTTGTGCCTTGAAGAGTTGTTCATGCGGGAGCTCCCCGCTTCGAAGCTGGGCTGAAGACACCCGACTGGATGGGCTTAAGTTGAGGGGGCTTTGGGGTTTAGGACCGTTTGGGGTTTAAGATTTCGGGCTTTAGGGTTGTAGGGTTCTGGGCCTTTGAGTCCCGGAAAACGTGTGACGGATTCTACATCAGGCTTCGGAGGGCTCCGGGCCGATGCTTGAAACCGTCGACGCCTTCGAAACATTAGCAGGCTTTTTGGGCACTATAAGGGTTCTATTAAAGGGTTCGTATAAGGGTACGATAATGACTTCCCTTTGACCTTTTTAGGGTTTAGGCTGTGGGACTTTGGACTTGGGGTCAAGGGTCCTGCAGCCAAAAACCTGAAACCCTCTACCCCATGCTTACCGCGAACCCTGAA